TAAGTTGAATCTGAGGGCGAGGAAAGCAATCTTTGTGGGACTTAGAGAATGTGTTAAAGGTTTTAAGTTATGGGATCCACAGGACAAGAAGATAGTCATTAGCAAAGATGTCATATTTGATGAGGCATACATGATGAAACCTCAAGTTTCTCAACAGGTGGAGGAAGACCAGATTCGAGAGATATCACAATAGGTGGAGGATGATGTGATTCCACCCACTCCAGATAACATTGTATCCATTGAGGCTCCTACAGAGGTGACACTGGGAATAGAGAAGATGACACCCGGACATATAGAGGATATAGTGGATGGTGAGGCTCATGAGCAGGGTCATGTTCAGGAGTGCATTGCAGCAAATAGATATAGAAGGGTGATTCGTCAGTCAGCTAGATATAATGATGTCATGATCGCATATGCATTATCAGTGAAGGTCGTTGATGATATGGTTCCTTTTATATTCAGGAGGGTAGAGTCTAGCTCTGATTCGATCAAGTGGAGGGAAGCTATGAATGAGGAGATACGGTCTTTTCAAAAGAACGACACTTGGAAACTTGCAACGCTACCCAATGGTAAGAAAGTTATTGATTACAAGTGGGTATATACGAAGAAAGAGAGATTTTCTATTAGGGACATCAGGTACAAAGCCAGATTGGTTGCCAAGGGATATGCACAGTTTGAGGACGTTGATTACAATAAGGTATTTTCACCCGTTGTGAAGCATTCGTTGATTCGGATTTTATTGGCATTGGTGGCACAGCTGGATTTGGATTTAGTCCAAATGAATGTTAAGACAGTCTTTCTACATAGAGATTTAGATGAGAAGATCTACATGATATAATACTTGGGATTTAAAACTGCAGGAAAGGAAGATTTGGTGTGTAAGCTGAAGAAGTCTCTTTACGGTTTGAAACAATCATCGCAACAGTGGTATAAGAGATTTAACAGCTTCATGATTGACCAGGGGTACACAAGGAGCCCATATGACTCATGTGTTTACATGCACAAGCTACAGGATGGTGAGCACATATATTTGCTATTATATGTTGATGATATGCTTATTGCTTCCAGGAATTCTTCGGTTATTCGAAAGTGAAAAGAGGAGCTGTCATCCGAGTTTGAGATGAAGGATCTTGGAAAAGCTAAGAAGATATTAGGTATGAAGATCGAGAGAGACAGGGTGAAGGGGAGATTGAAGCTTACACAGAAGAGCTACTTGCAGAAGATGTTGAATAAATACAGCTTTGATGGTAATACAAAAGCAGTTAGCACTCCATTGGCTCCCCACTTCAAGCTTTCAGCTTTGATGTTACATGTTTCAGTTGAGGACAAGATTACATGTCGAATGTTTCATATGTCAATACGATGAGTAGTTTGATATATGCGATAGTGTGTACGAGGTCAGATTTATCACAAGCCGTGAGCATGGTATCGAGGTACATGCATGATCCCGGAAAGGGTCATTAGGAGACCGTGAAGTGGATTCTACGGTATGTTAAAGGTACCATGGATGTTGGTTTGATTTTTCAGAAAGATAAGAAGAATTGACAAGATTGTATTGACTACGTAGATTCAGATTATGCGGGGGATCTTGACAAGCGCCGGTCTAATTCAGGTTATGTGTTTACATTAGCAGGAGTACCGATATGTTGGAGATGTATACTTCAGTTTACAGTAGCTCTCTCTACTACAAAGGCGGAGTATATGACGTTGACTGAAGTTGTTAAGGAGGTTTTGTGGTTACATGGATTGTTGGAGGACTTGGGGATTGCACAGGAGACCCTTCAGGTATATTGTGATAGCATGTCGGCTATCTATTTGGCGAAGAACCAGGTTTATCATGCACGCACGAAGCATATTGATGTCAGATTCTATTTTGTTCGTGACATTTTGGATGATGGAGATATCATATTGGAGAAGATCCACACGAAGGACAACCCTGTGGATATGTTGACTAAAGTTATTTCAGGTTTGAAATTTGGTCATTGTTTGAAGCTATTAAACATTCTTCAATATTGAGGTCCTTTGGAGGCCATTTTGGGTGAACTATGTTCGACTTGATTCCTTGGGCAAAAGGATACGTAGGCAGTCTTTTCGATGCAGCCGGTTGGATTTGTTGATTTCGATAGAGGCGATTGTTTGAGCTGTCTTTTGGGTTCCCAACTTGTTGTGGATTGAGTCCATTGTCGTGGGTTGTTTTTACTTCGTCCTGCACGCAACAAGTGGGACATTTGGATGATTTGGTATTGGCTTAATTTTGGAAGAAACTTCACCGAGGTGGAGAATTGTAAAAATGGTGAACACAACGACGAAGACCACAGGAAAAGACGAAGAACAGGATTTGGGTGACTGTCGGTCGACCGTGGGTGACGCGGCGGTTGACCGCAAACGTGCACGCAAGGGAAAAGTCTCTAGACTTTTGACGGTCGATCGCAATGGGTTCTGCGGTCGATCGCGCCTAAACCCTGTAGGTAATTTGGTCTCTGGAGTTTTGGCGGTCGACCGCGTAGCGGGTTTGGGCCATAATCTATTTTCTACCCCCGTTTCGTTTTGAGTTGATATATATTCCTAATCCTAATTAATTAGGGTGAAGCAATGACATTTTGAGCAGTCTTTGAGAGAGGATTGTTACATCCAATTGTGGGAGATTAGTTAGAGATTTAGAGAGCTTTATTTTAGGGTTTTGAGTGATTTTGTAACCCTATTTTGTATTCTCTTCATCTCTAATAGTAAGAACTCCCCCCGCCTTGCCCCGTGGACGTAGGTAACTTGCCGAACCACATAAAATTCGTTATTTTGTTGTGATTATGATTTGTGCTTTTGCTTAGTTGTGATCTATCCCGTTCTTGTTCGTGTGATTAGAGTTCCGCTGCGCACAACAACTAGCAAATGCTACTTTAGTGACCTAGGTCCCAAACAAAAAATTGTCAAAATTTCTAGCAAATTGTACCAAAAAGTATCTCATCAAAATCCATGTTGCTTACATCGACCAGATATGAGGAACTAGTGTGTGTTTAATGCTCATGGAACAATGTCAACTCCTCTCTCCCTTCTCAGAAGTGATCAGTTAACATTTTCAATAATAAGGACATAAGGATTAGCAAATTCAAACATGGTTCCATCATCACAAAAGAAGTTCACTGGCTTGAACAATCTCATGAACTCGGGCTGAACTTCAAATTTTTTAATAACCATGAAGGAATTTGTGCTTTGGCATGTGAGTGATGAGTCCTTGACATATAATTATTGTATACAAATTTCCAATCTGATACATGAGCTTCCCTTTTTCCGAATCAATAGTGTATAGTTTCTCAGAACAATATGCAACTGCACGTATGCGATAATTTAATTTTTTAACTTTCAGGACATGGAGTATATCCAAAATTTTGATGGAGTGAAGGTTTCTTACAACTACCGCTAATAAGATTTGTTCTATTTTTCAAGTTCTACTAGCATTTTAAATTAATCAAAAATTGAAAAAAGTTACGGGACTTTACACCTCAAACAACCATGTTTTTGGGCTTGAATATTGACTCGTAAAGGATTTGTGGAAACAAATCGTTCCAGATCTGTGAACTTATCACTAACATCCTGCCATTCTAAAGCACCAAAAAGAAAGCTGATCTTGAAACCCATGGCACGTTAGTTTCTTAATAAATAACGTCATTGGAAATAAAGACTAGAAGTACAAAGCACAAAGTTTGTAGCAGTTGGTAATAGTAGGAAGAACTACGTTATAGAACACGTTTCAACAATCTGATTAAACGATCCTGACCCTTGGCAGTTTATACAAAATATCTGATGCTTTAGAGCATCAATATCAATTTCCATAAAAGCAACCAGCAGAGGATGTAAATGTAGCTTCATCAAAAGATAGATTTGTAGTTTCATTGTCATAGATTCATGTCAGGTTCAATATATATTCACAAACCTAAAGTAACAACACTAATACTAATTCTGAGGACTGAATAACGATATTTAGCATAAAAAACTTATAGTTTATTTCTCAAGTCTCCATCATTTGTAAATAATGAGAAACTAAACCATATTCTCTTGGTTTCTTTTGTTCTATCCTAGCTTGTGTCTGCTTCTAGAACCTCCTCATACTGTAGGGTGCGATTCATTAGTTCATAGGCATCGAAACCTCCAAAGCAAAGTTATCATCACCTTACTAAACTCCTGATATTTGAAGTGATTGAAGATATAAACCTAAGTGGTAATCGAGGAAGAAGAAACCAAAAAGAACTCACTAAGAACATAGCTATTAAGGCCCATCTCAGAAAATGAAACTCTTGCCAAAGGAAAGCAATTGGAGAAGGAGACCACAAAATTAACTGTAAAAATAATTGGAGGATGTTGTTTAGACTTAAGGAAGCTGGTACAAGGGAATAAAATAATTACTGATGCACCATAAGAAAAATCAACAGCTCATGTTCATGTCTCCCAACATTCAAAACCAGCGGAATAGAGGTAAAGTTTCTAATAGCTAATATAAAGCAGAATAGGAATGAAAATTGAAGTGTCTGAAGGTAATGTAATTAAGATAAAATATACATCAAATTGAGTTGCAAGAAGCAATAAAAAGTGGACAAAATTGCAGGAACTATGGAGCACAAACAAGTCAGACCAACAGAAGCACTCAAAACTAGGCGAGAAGGAGGAAATCGTGGAATGAAAAAATGCATATATTTTGTCAAACATACATACACATATGGAAAAGGGAAAAAAAGATCATAAACATGAATTCAAAATGAGGAAAACAACTCAATTGTACATCAAATCTGAAATACATCTTCTTAAAATCATGACAAGCATCAAGTTAGTATAGACGGCCAATATATTGGTATGCCACTCTGAACAGAAAATATTCAAATATACACAAACAGACTAACTGCAAGCTAAAAGAAAAGAAATCATGCACAGACATCTAACGCATAAAAGTTAATCAAAGGGAAAAGGCAAAGGTATAACTTGAGCAATAAAGAACAATCTCATGCCCATACCTGTTATGCCCCTGACTTTGGGTCATCGTTCACCATAGAACTCATCAGCCTGCATTCCGTTATCATTGAACTTCACTTGAAAGGATTTTTCAGAAGTGAATCCCTTATCCTTGAATCCTGTGATTTTAAGAGAAGGGATTCGATGCGAAAACCGTAACAACTCTTTTCTTTTAAATGCCATAAACTGCCAAAAGCCTTCGTGTAACTGTCTTTTGAATACATTCTCATGACCCTCTGCTCTAACTAAGGCTGCCACGATTAACCTGCTTCCTCAGTGAAATCAGAAACAATCTCTACCAACTTATATTGGATGTTATTGCTCAAGTCGGAAATTGTCCAATTAATATTCCAGTTCATGTAGATCGCCCAGACTTCACCTTTTCTAGGATATACTCTGAAGAAGAGCTTTGATGGTTGCTCATTAGCACATATCAGTCTGTGTGACAACACCTTTTGCTCAATTCAAGTGGACTGAGATGCCTTAAAAGTCCCACATGCCATAGGTAAGTTTGCTTCAACCCACTGCACCTCTTCATCAGCAACAGGATGAGGTCGTAATATTGTCACCTCTAACATTCCTCCTGAATTGAGAAACTTACCTATACGAGCATAAGAGGGAGGAAGTCCATTTAGTCCATTAAAGAATGCCCGTACCTCACCCAATTTAAAGTTCTTTTCAACTGCTTCACATTCCATCCTTTCACTAGCATGGACTCCAGCTGGGGAAATATTGCCACTGCTTGGTTCCTTTTTCTGTGAGTTCTCAACAGTTTCCTCTTGTTCTACTGCTTTGTTTATAATGCAATTTTCGGTTGTTTGTGGTTATTCTCTTGGCTAGCCACGCTAATAGGGTTTCTCTGTTTATTGATGAAGTGTTCAATAGCTGAGGAGCCTGGGCGGACTTTTGATCTTTCCAAAAGAAAAGGATCACTGAAGGAAAAGTAATCGGCAGATTTCTGTGGCACCATAAAAGGATCTAGCACAAAAGCTCCCCTTAGAAATTTTTTCCTACAATTTTCATCAAATCTGTAAGATGGTATCTTGTGTGAGAACCTGTAGAATTCATTTACAGGAATCAGGAACTCTCCTTCACTTCCGAGATCACTCCTTCTCTTGAAAAGGCCTTTGAATCCCTCAACTCTCCTTAAGGGTGCTACTTTTACATCTTTTTCTGTTCTTTCTATAATCGCTACAATCTGATAATCTAGCGTTCCTGTAGGATTGCAAGCTGTTACCAGATTATGGTCTTTGTAGATTCCCCAAACTTCGAATACGTGGGGATATATATCAATAAAGGAGACACCTCCAATCTTATTGTGCTTCACAGTAAAAAGAAGAAAGCAATAAGAGAGAATGAAGCGTTTATCAGTTTCTTCAGGTGCTACAAAAAAATTTCCACAAACTGCAGCAAAGCCAGCTTCATGCCATTTCTTCTCATTGTTGTAAATGGGAATAGGAACCAATTCATGCATTACTAGCTTGGTATTCTGATCTGATCCTTCATAACGGACTTCAACATAACTTTTTGACGGAACTACGGCATTCGCTGCACCATAGCCAACCCTAGATAATAGCCCCTTTTGGAATTGTCACAGGCCAATCGATCAAGGACACCCAAGAAAAGATAATCGTTGTTGATCTTGAGCTTACTTCTTTGAAAATCATCAACATAGAAAGGCAAAGAGGAAGGATCTAACTCCAATAAATCATCCGCAGACTTCTCCCCAGGAATTCTAATATAAGGAACCTGGTGAGAGAACGGTTCCAAAGCTTCATGCCGAATTTGGAATTCAGACTTATGTCTTCGAAAACAATTTCCATTTTGTCCTGTGACTGAAACCAAAAACACAAATTTGATGCCCATAAGTTCGTCATAATCCTCAAGAACCTCTAGCATCTGATATTTGAGCAAGGTAGGAGCCCCATATCCAAACAAGGTTGTAGCATCGTGTGCTCTAATGGCCCAAACCTTGTTGGGAATTTAACGCCTAAATCCCTAATGCAACAGAAACGTATAATAGAGAACAGTACACAAGATTTACGAGGTTCGACAACTGCCTACGTCCTCGGGAGCCACACAGTCAATTTCTTATTTAATCTAACAAGAAATTACAAATCAAGAGCAAATCTCTAAACTGAGATTTCTTAAATGAACACTGTAGCTACAGTGTTAATACCCACAATAAAATCCCTCTTCTCTTTTCTCTCTCTTCTTAAATCTCCCTCAACCACTGTTGAAAACTGGAGATTAAATGAGAAATCGCTGCTGCGATTTGGGAAGTTGAACGCTGCTGCGTTAAAAGAGGATCCACCGCCAGAGAGATCGGGGGAGAGGAGCCGCAACCCTAGGGCATCGAAGGGGGGCCTTTTATAGGCAAGGTTGATGGGCTGGCGACAACCTGTCGCCAGCGCACGAACTCGGACGCGATGGTCGGAGGCCAAAACCGCGAGCGTGGGGTGCTGAACGAGGCGTCGACTTCGCCTGAGTCGATGTCCGCGCTCGCCTGCAACATCCTTGAGCTCGCCGGAGCTCTTCGTCGACGGAGGTTGGTATCCACCCCCAACCTAACAATCTCCCACTTGGAGACCAAACCGACGTCAAGCAGGCTATCCCATCAAGCTCCTTCCCCTGTGTGGCTCCGCCCTCATCAACTATGCATGAAGGCCAACTGAAGTTGCACACAACTCCAGTTTCTGAAAGGTCGCAGCCTTTGTCAACTTATCCGCTGGATACTTTCTTCCTTGGATATTCTGTTGAAATCCTTTGACAACTTGTCGGGCTCTGTATCTTCTGGAACCATTCTGCTCCTTTTTCACTTGATACACCAACTTGTTGTGACGTGCCTTCTTCCCCATGAGAAACTCAGCTAGTCCCCATGACTGGTTGGAGATCAGAGATTTCATCTCTTCTTTCGCAGCAAACTCCCACTTGCTCGCATCTCCACTCTGACAAGCTTCATCAAAGCTTTCAGACTCTCCTCCATCTGTCAGCAACATATAATTCATGTATCTGCTGTTAGGCACAGGAGGACGAGTACTTCTTCTTAATATCGGAGCTTGTGCGTCGGGCTTCTGCGCATCATTCTGTCCAACAGTCTCTTCTGGCTGAGGACCTTCTGCATTGGGTTCTTCCGAGAGGTTACTCGGGACATCATCTGCATCTACAAATATTGACTCGCTCTCTGAGTCATCAGTCTTGTGCATGTCCTTGTACATCACCTTCTCGTTAAATATCACATCTCTACTCTTGATCACATTCTTGTTTTCGTTGTCCCAAATGCGGTAGCCGAACTCGTCTTCACCATACCCGATGAATGTGCATTTCTTAGACTTGGGATCAGGCTCATTCCTGCCTTGATCACTTATATGCACATAAGCTACACAACTGAAAACTTTGAGATGTGAGAGGTTTACCTCCTTTCCGCACCATACCTCTTCTGGTATTCTGTGCTCCAATGGAACCGCTAGACCTCGGTTGATCAAATAAGCTGCTGTGTTGACTGCTTCTGCCCAGAACTGCTTCGGTAGGCCTGACTGCGTCCGAATGCTTCTGGCTCTTTCTGTCAACGTTCTATTCATGCGCTCAGCCACACCATTGTGCTGAGGCGTGCCGGGCACGATACTCTCCATTCTGATACCGTGCTTATAGCAGAACTTCTTGAATCTGGTGTCTTCATACTCACCACCATTGTCTGTTCTGAGTTTCTTTACCCTCAAACCGGTCTCATTCTCGACCATGACTTTCCATCTTCTGAAAGCCTCAAGCACTTCTGACTTTTTCTTCAGAAAATAGACACATACTTTCCGAGAGTGATCATCAATAAAAGTCACGAAGTAGTGTTTCCCACCAATCGATGCGGTGGTTGTTGGTCCCCAAACATCCGAGTGAACGAGCTCTAGCTTCTGCTTCCTAGGGGGTCTGCCACTTGTCTGAAAGCTAACTCTCTTCTGCTTTTCAAGTCATCAATCTCTACTGATTGTAAACCTGGGAGTTTTCTCTTTGTGTGCATAACCTTCATCCCCTTTTCACTCATATGACCGAGTCTCTGGTGCCACAGCTTTGAAGTCTCATTGCCTGCCGCAACTGAGATCGAACAACGTGCACCCGCTGTCATATACAGGGTATCAGTCTTCCTGCCTCTGACAATCGTCATTGCGCCTTTCGAAATCCTCCAATCATCACTATGGAAAGTCATCGTGTAGCCTTCACTAGCCAGCTGGCTTACTGAGATTAAGTTCCTCTTCAGGTCGGGAATATACCTGACATCCTTCAGCTCCCATACTGACCCATTCAGCTTAATCTTCACTACACCTTTGCCAATAATGGCACATGCTTGATCGTCACCAAGATATACATTTCCAAGGTTTCCGGGGATATACTTCTCGAGGAATTCTTTCTGAGAAGTAGCATGAAATGATGCTCCCGAGTCCAACACCCAAGACTCTTCCTTGCTCTCCAAAGAACATATCAGCGCATCATCTCCTCCTGAGGTGAAAGCAACGTTCACATCTGCATTTGCCTCCCACTCCTCCCGTGCACTCCTGCACTGATTCTTGTAGTGCCCGGTTTTCCCGCACTTCCAACACTCGATAGCCTTCGAACTGTTGGGATTTCTGGATTTGGATCTCCTATCATCTGATCCATTTCCTCTGGTTGAACTTTTACCTCTTGACTCTGTATGCAATACTGAAGAGGTTGTAGCTTCACCCGACTCTCTCCGTCGGATCTCCTCACTGAGAACCAGATCACGAACGTCGTCAAACTTCAACTTATTGCTTCCCGATGAGCTACTCACAGCTGTGACTGTAGCGTTCCAACTCTCTGGTAGGGAAGACAAAAGGATCAACGCTCGAACTTCCTCATCAAACTCAATATCAACTGAACTCAATTGGGTCGTGACTGTATTGAGTTCATTGAGATAATGTGCTACCGATGCACCTTCCGCCATTCGCAGATTGAATAACCGCCTCATCAAATGGACTTTATTTGAGGCTGATGGCTTCTCATACATATTTGAGAGTGATGCCATAAGACCTGCCGTGGTCTTCTCCTTCGCTATGTTGAACGCAACTGTAGGCGTCTAAAAATGCCTATAGGTATCCACACACAGCTCGAGACAGAGAGAAGACGACGGACATTGTTATCCGAGTCTAAGAGGATTATCTGACGCCGACAAGCGCCTGAAGCAAAACGGCGAATCAAGTGACCTGCGCGCTTGACAGTCAGCTCGCGCGCGCCAATCAGCTCGCATGCGTCAATCAACACGCACGCGTCAATCAACTCAAAGCATATAAATCAACGAAGCGAACCAAACACACGAAAGGACAAGTATCAAAGAAAGAGAACGGAAAAGAAAAAAAAA